ATGATTTATATGATATATATATATTAAATGGATCTGGTTTTTTTTTATATTGCTTTGATAATGTAAATTTTTTTTCTGCGTCGAACGTCTTAACATAAGTAAGCGGACGATAAATTTTGCTACGAATCTCTCCGAAATAGAAAATCTCAATTTTGTCCACGACGCTTTGTGCAAGAGTACTATTCTTTTTGACGCCAGGCAGTAAGCGACGTCACTGATCTAAGCTCGATAAGATAATGTGAGGGAGATGTACAAAATTCACTATGACTGTCTACCAAGCAAGTAAAGAAAAAGAAAAAAAAAAAAAAAAAAAAACGAGCAAAAAGAAAAATTAGGGAGCGAGAGAAAGAGAGGGGAAGAACGACAGAAGGAAAAAGGTAAGACAAAGTATTTAGAGACGGAGAAAACAAATTTAACGGCTTATAAAGCGAGCACACTCTAGGCCGAGATGATCGCTATAACGTTATTAAGTATAATGATTGCCTTCCTGCCATATTTGGGGTATGCCAAGTATAAAAATTATAAGGTTTAGGGATTAGGGAACGAGAAACTGTGGCTCGACACGACAGACCGTGTCGAAATTTCGGTGAGTTCGGCGACCACGAGTGTATGCATCGGTGCGAGACTGCGAACTTGAATCACGGGCCTGTGAATGCGAATGTGTACGCGAGTATGAAAGCGAGATACGGACGGAAGGAATGAATGAACTTGAGAAAAAAACTCGTGTGCGTGCGTTCTTCTTTCGAAAGATCGTGCTATTTTTCAAAATTTTACACGTCGCGCGTGATTTCGAGTCCTCGACAATCGATGAACGAGACGTGCCGACCAGTTGGAGCGAAGAAGTACTTTTTAATACCGAGCAACGATTACGCACGAGTAAAATTTATTGAAAGCTGCAATCGATCGCCTTTTCTAAATTCGATCAATTTGAAATTTTAGACTTGCGAAGTATCGCTTTTCAAAATGGTGCTAATATAAGGATTTCCATTTGATCGCTATTACTGCGAATAAGCAGATATTTTTTTGTTACAATTTCGAATAAAATCGCGCAAAATTATGTGCGTTTAAAATTCATTGGATCTTATAATCGATCGTCTATGCCAAATTCGGTTCATCTGCAATTTCAAATTGGATTATCGTAAAGTATCGTTTTTCGATACTTTACGATATGAAAGTTTCATTAATATCACTATAGACGAATCGAGATAGTTTTTCGAACGTTTTTAATCCTGAATATATTTATCACAAAAAAAAAACGGAATTTTCCGAGGATACTAATATCGGCACGCTAGTTCGGGAAAGAGAGAGAGAAAAAGTGTGAGAGAATGATAGCAAGAGTGAGAGAAAGAGAGAGAAAGAGACTCCATGTAAGTGTAAAAAATAAACAAAAAAAAAAAATCGAAGTGGCCTTCGGTGAAAGGGAAAGATCATCGCTTTTCGCTTTTGCTCGTACGAGGCTTTTGGCGAAACAAGCCATCCGTGTTATATCCGTTTGTCTGGGGAAACTTTTAGGAAAAAGAGGATTAAAAAGAAAAAAAGAAATCGCAGAAGGAAGAAAATTGATTCTCGCGCCACGCTCATGCAGCCTGAAGATTTCCGGTGATGATGGGAAGAAGGGAATAGAGAGGAATGGATCGCGCACGTTCGTAGCACGTATCGGCGATTGGAGAAACGAAACATCGGTCAAGCCAAAAAAATAAAAAAGAAAAAAATGTTACACCTTATTCTTGATACAAGCAATTTTTGTGCGAAAACGCGACGGTTTCGCGAAGCGACGTAGACGGCGAGTTATTCTTAGTATACGCATTGCAATATTTCGATCGACCACGTTTTTCATTTTGGCGAGAAATTCGGAAAGCGCGAATATTCTATTTACCATTTAGGCATATAATGTGTTCAAACGTAAATTCGCGCGAGACGTGCGACGGCAAGAAGAAAAAGAAGATTACGCGAACGAAGAGTTAAAATTTACTAGAGAAACGCGAAAAAAATTGAGATGAAAGACACAAGAGAGAAAGAACGAAAGAGAGAAAGAAAGAGAGAGAGAGAGAGAGAGAGAGAGCGAGAGAAAGAAAGAATACACGAGGTCGCGAGAGCGTGGGGAAGAGAGAGAGAGAGCGAATGCGAAAGAGTTTAAAATTAAATATTGTATAAAAAGAAAAAAAGTAGTAAGTGCCTTCCAAAAAAATTAAGTGTCCCGTAGACCGTGACCACTTGACTAAGCGACGAGAAAAAGTCATTCGAAATTCTGCTGAATGCATTATTCGCGTGATTACGTTTGTAGATACGCTGCGTAAGATTGACAACACGTTTCTTTGGAATTAATATATTTTATATATTCTAGAAAACTCTATATAAAAAAATTATTCTTGATTAAATCGAGAGAGAGAGAGAGAGAGAGAGCGAGAAGCTAAATTAATAACTTCGGAAGTGAAAAATGTCTCTATAATTCTCTGTAATTCATATCCTCTTTTTGTCCTTATTTCGTTTGAAATTAAGAGAATATTAATGTTCAATTATACTCTTGGCTTGATTTAATTTATACTCTATAAATGTAGAGAGAGCATTCTATCTTTCAAATTCAACGTTTGTTATTTTTACATTTACATCAATGTCCGAATCGTATGATCTTTTATTCCTTCGTATAATTTTGTAGTCGCACCGTTCTTCGATACAAAATTTTCGATAGTTCCTAAACAGTTCGCGAAAAGAAAGAGTATCCTTTTCCGATACTTCCGATCTAATAATTTTGAGAGATAATTCGCTCGAGACGAGCGAAATGTATTCTATTAATCAGCGAGCACCCTTATGCCGCGTACGCAACGTGTCTACAAACTCTGTGTGCATGTCAGAATGAATGTCCGAAGCAACAAACTACCCGACAAAATTTGTGTTTTGGATCAATCCACACAGGTAATACCCTGAATGGCATATTCTCGAGATGTTTTCCTTTTTGGTTTCCCAGCAAATAAAGTCGACGTATACTTTAGATATGAGGAGAGAGGGAGAGAGATAGAGAGCATAAGAGAGGAAAAAAAGATGAAAGAGAGAGAGGAACAGCTTACCGATAGAAACGGAGAACGGCTATTTCGAGAGGACCCTTTTGTTTCCACATTTTTGATATATACATATATGTATCTGTGAACAGATGAAAAAAAAGAATACTTATATTACATACCTAAGATGTAAGTGAACAAAAAAAAGCATCTAATACGCTATTATTGATATATATTGCGCGAAAGAGAGAGAGAGAACGCGAGCGAGCGAGAGAGAGAGAGAGAGAGAGAAAGAGACATAAAGCGAGATATAGAGGCCGCGGTTCTTTTTTCCGAACGTCGTCGAGGACGAAACAAAAGTTCACGAGCAGATTTTTGCGCTAGGTGAACTAAAGGCTGAAAAGCTTTAGAATCGAGAAGACAAAATAGCTCGTAGGGTTTTTATCGGGCCGACAAAAAAAAAACGAAAAACACGATAAACGTGCGTGATTTTGATGCTACTTTAGAGAGCCAATTCAGTTTCTTAGCTCGCGGATCCCGTTTATCGATAGACGCACTGATTAGATTCTCTTCCTTTTTTTCTTTTCTTCTTTTGAAAATCGATCATTACAATTTTATTTCACGATCCAATTTTTTTAATTTTATGTTTGTTTTGCAAATACAAAAGAGACTTTAAAAATACACTAATTAGACTAGTTAGACTTAATGAAATAATTATATTTTTTCAAATCGGATTTTATGACAGATTTCAAAAATACAAAGATCAAAACTATCTCTCTCGCAAGAGCGACTATCGATATGCGGGCGGTCCAGGAGTTTCAGATCACACGCACACAAAAACCGATCGGCGAGAGCTTTCGTTCCACGCACGCGTGAAATCTTTCCTTTGATCGTCGTTATTGCCGCGGTATCGAGTGGTGAGAGGAAAAAAAAAGCTGCGAGAGAGAAAGAGAGAGAGAGAGAGAGCGAGAGAGCGAGTTGAACAGCGACAGCCGATTATAAAAACAGAGCATAAGTAGTCTTCATACACACGATTTACGACTAGTTTGCAGGATACGCGGCCGACGACGACGACGTTTTCTCGTCATGGAAAAGTCCAGGTTGACACATGTAAACGCGCTGAATTATCTGAATAAAAATTTCGAGTGTGTGTGTGTGTGTGTGTGCGAGAAAACGTCGTCGGGACCGCGCGAAGATGCCGATTATAAAAACAGAGCATAAGTAGTCTTCATACACACGATTTACGACTAGTTTGCAGGATACGCGGCCGACGACGACGACGTTTTCTCGTCATGGAAAAGTCCAGGTTGACACATGTAAACGCGCTGAATTATCTGAATAAAAATTGCGAGTGTGTGTGTGTGTGTGTGTGTGCGAGAAAACGTCGTCGGGACCGCGCGAAGATACACACACCGCGTTTCCGTTTCTCTACCATAGTTAACACAATTTAAAGGATAACTTAGGTGTGGCATCTTTCATTTCGCGAGAACCATTAGTCGAGCAATAGGATTCTCGCGCATCTTTCCAGAACCCGGTTATATTTAATCGTACACGAGCCCGAGTAACACGCATATGTAAACAATGAGACACACATGAAAACACACATTGATACATCTTACACTCTTCAAGAAGCCGAGAGAATGAGAAGGACACACGAGATTGTTTGTCTTAACTGTAAATAGAAGAGGAGCAGCATGTACGGCAAGGTTTCATCGTTATCACTGTATAACGTGTAACATATTTATTTCTCATGGAGTTCTCGTTGAGAACTTCCCTTTAAGTATAGCCTAAGATCCGGATTTTTTTATTATTTTGATCCTTCTGCTCGTCAGAGGCGCGGAGCGAACCGCGAACGAGTGTCCTTTCGAAATGAAGAAAGGAGTCACCCCTTCTGTCGGTGAACTCTCGCGTCTCTTTAGGCATTGCCTCGATTCAACTGCGGAAATAAAACGTGCGACGTCCGCGAGAATATTGAAGCTAAAGAGTCGAATAATTATTTCAGCATCTTGAAATAATTTCTTGCTGTAACCAGATGTCTTTACTAATTTTCTGGACACAAGGCTACTTTCTTACAATATGTCCCTACTTTCTTACACCGTCAACCTCAGATCTACGATCGCACGTTTTTTTTTTTTTGGCAATATTCTGCTTTTAATCCGCAATACATAAGGGCTATCTTTTTAATATATATTTATACGATAAATATGAGAAACTTATTAGAGCTATTTAAGAATTTAAGAATATTTAAGCAATTATTTACAATTATGATTAATCTAAAAATTTATTTAAAATGATAAATTTTAATTATGTAGATCATATATATATATTTACGAATATAATTTAAAAATTTATTTTGAAAGGAACGTATCTCTTTAATTAAATAGTTGTTACTGAGATGTAGGAATTTATTATTTCTCGATAATATCGTGTATTATATATTTGAAAGCATAGTCCTCAAAATAATTTAATCGAGACAGTGCTGGCGGAAATGGTATTATCGATTATAAGCGCGCTCGTTGCACTCGTCGTGTGCGACGACAACGGCGAACGGCAATATTTTATAGAGTTACTATCGTTTTATTTTCTGCCTTTAAGAAAAATGAGAAAGGAGCACACACACATGCAAGTATTTCTTTTCAGTAGGTAGCCCAATTTGTTGGATAAGTCGCCCGTACCGATATAGATTATATCGATATAGATAATGTGTCGATATAGATTATATCGGACAACGCGTGATAACAAAACACGCGAGATGTAGCCGTGACGACGACGACTCGTGAAACGACGTTCGTTCCCGATTTACTTCGAAAAAGAAAATGAAAAAAACGCGCGAAGACGTGCTGCTTCGCGCGCCGTTTGTTTTAGTCACGGACGCAGAAACGCAGAATCGTTCGCCCATTATTAAACGCGTTTTCCACATCCCCCCCCCCCCCCTCTCCCCTGCCCTAAGATCCCCTCAGATCTCCTTCCCCCTCAGTCCGGCCCCGAGTTCCACTTTTATTTATTACCGATTAGCTCGTAAGATGACGTTCTACCGCGAGGTATGCTATACTTATAAATACACCCTATATATAGTGGAGTAAGCAAGTTACATTACCTACCTACCTACCTACCTATCCGCGCGCTTGACGGGTGGAACAAACAGATGAATCACGCAATCATACATTTAAGTTGCTACTTGGCACGTATACCTAAGTAATATACTAACATAAACAGTATGCAATAACAAATAAATATGAGAAATAAAAGATGCGTTTCTTTCTGCATCTCCTCACAAAAATCTTCCCTACTTCCTTTCTCATAAAAATTTCTTAATTTCAGTAAAACTATTCATTTTTCGATGAAATATTGATCATCGTGAACATTAAGAAATAGTTTTATTAAATTTAAGGAAAAATTTAATTCCTGACTGGACTTTGAAAGATAACGTGAAGAATTCTGAGAATAAATTCTTTTTCGGAAAACATTTATTCAAGCGATTAATATATTTATACAATATAAATAACTGAAATTTTTTCGAGTATCGAATAAAGAAATAACTTTCTAACAAGGAAAAAATTTTGTTCTATCATGTTTAGGAACAATTTCTGTTGAATGAATTCGATGGCCTACAAAAAACCAAGTTTAATATTGTATATGTCAATATATATGTACATACACAAATTTAATATTTTATATACATATTTAAAATAAAATTATTTTTTATCGATATCTTTTGTATAGAATGTATCTATATATATATTGCACTTTTTAAAATCGCAAATTTTTTAAAAATATTATATATAGCTTCTTTAAATCAGCAACCATCGAACTATACGATATTTTTATTCATAATTTAAAAAGAAACTAAAAACACTTTCACCAAATATATGATCAGCGTTTTGCGTTATCTACACCTTCTGCACTTTCGGTAAACTGTTCTGATTAATTTCATGTTCGGCGGACTTTGGATTCTCTTGAAGATTGTGGCTGGGTTGTTCAACTTCTTGATTGTTCGACGGGGCATTATCGTGAGTATTTTGTGGCACTTGATTCTGCGTTTGTTGTTGCGTTTGCTGCTGATTCTGTTGAGGTTGGCTTTGAGATTGTTGTTGGACTTGCTGAGGCTGGGATTGTTGCTGAGGCTGGGATTGTTGCTGAGCCTGCTGTGGTTGACCCTGATACTGTGGCTGAGCCTGCTGTGGCTGAGCCTGCTGTGGCTGGCCCTGATACTGTGGCTGAGCCTGCTGTGGCTGAGCCTGCTGTGGCTGGCCCTGATACTGTCGCTGAGCATGCTGTGGCTGAGCCTGCTGTGGCTGGCCCTGATACTGTGGCTGAGCATGCTGTGGATGGCCCTGATACTGTGGCTGAGCCTGGAAATGCTGCTGCGGTACTGGCACTTGATACTGTGGCTGCTGCGCTTGGTACTGATGTTGCTGTGGAATCTGATCGGAATAATGTTGTTGTGGCGGAGGCTGATAGATTTGTTGCTGCGGCACTTGTCCCTGGTATTGTTGCGGCACATGGCCGACTATCGGTTGTTGCGGTGGTATCTGTCCTGCATATTGTTGCTGTGAAGGTATCTGTTGCGGATGATACTGCTGGGATTGAAACTGGTATTGCGGTGGGAACTGTGGAATATAACAAGAGATGCGTTAAGAAAAGATAGTTGCTAGTTTGATAAAAGACTCGGATTTGCAAATATTTCACAATTTCGCGGCTACTTACCTGTTCGTGTTGGACAGGTAGATGTGCAGTATCAGGAGATAATGGAAGTGGTGGTGACTAACAACAACAACAAAAAGTGCACAATCTAGGTTAATTACTCTAATCACTACAGATTTGTCTTTTAGTCAAAGCGAAATAACGACTATGCAAGTTTGTCAAAGCGTTTGTCAGCGAGTCGTCAAGTATGCTTATAATTATAGCCGCGCGATGTTATACCTATAAAAAGGCCTACTACTCAATTGAAAAATAAACTGATACATCTTCTATCTTTACTTCGAGCATGCTGTCAAATAAGTATATAACAAAATCAGACACAAAATCATTTAGATTGTGTTCGTCTATTTAAAAAGATAATATAAAAAAATAAAATCCCTCGGTATATGTGAGGATATTTAATCTGGCACACGCAAGTAGATTCATAGCTTCTCTACTTATTTAAAGTACATCCACACAGGATTACATACGATAATTAAGCGCTCACCATTCCTTTGGCAACCATGTTCTGCATCTCTTCATTCCTGCGTTTCAGGAAAACTTCGTATTCTTCCTTAGAGTATATCTGTTGCTCGTCCAATCCTTGCCATCCTTCATCTTGTTGGAAATCGGGCTTCTTCGTCTGTTCCAAAAACTCTTGATAACTGTAATAAGCAAAAAACACAAATACATTTCTTCATTATCTGCGATTCTGTGGTAATCAATTAATGTAAATGTAAATGTAAATCAAATAAAGTAATGTAATTTCGAATGCGAAATTTAATAATTTGTTGAAATAGGTACCTTATCAGACCATCGTGATTAAGGTCAGCTTCGTTAAACACATGTTCTCTCATTCTTTCCATTTCTTCGCGTCTCTCATAGATATCGTCTTCTGGAGCGCCTTCTGAGTAAAGTTTATCTAATTCTTTAAGGAACAGAGATTTTACTTCATCTTGATCCCAGAAACCATTACCATCCAAATCTGAATCAATTTGAAATTGTATACATAAATATAATCTTTTTTTAATGTGACGAAATAACAATATATATTATTAACAATAATGATAACATTTCGTACCATGAAGATAAAAGAACGTCTTGGGATTAAAGTCTTGGTCTTCCATATGATCTTGTTTCTCCCATACCTCCTCTAATTGTTGCTTGCTACCAGGGTGATGTAACTGCAAATTCATATTACTTAATAGAGAAGAAAGTAGAAGAAAGACTTGTATCTGTTTTCCAACTTACTGGTTTATGATCCTTGTGTTTCTTTTTCATCGCTTCTAGCTCCTCTTCATATTTTTTCCTTTCTTCTTCCTTCATATCTTCCAAGAATGAAAAACGTTAATTCAAAAAGTTAAATAATGATTGTTTTAATTATTTGCTAATGTAAAATTATTTACTAAATTGTGAGAATTATATTATAATTTAATAATATTACTAGAGAGAGCTAATAAAATAATCAAATTTAAAAATGTTACGTTTTGTACCAGTATTACCCTTCATCTTTTGCTCCTCCTCAAATTTTTTTTCCATCTCATATTCTTTAAACTGCTGACGTCTTCGTTTATCAGCTTCTGCCAAGTCTTGCGTAGTCTGCAATATTTTAGTAATAATTGAATATACCTTCATCAAATGAGACAGCCCTTATATGAAAGCTCGTTATATATTTTACATATTACATAAAAAAACACAAAAACTCCCACCTTGGCAATCAATTTCTTAAAATCATCTATCTCAAACGTATGTGCATTGGAGTGATCCAAATGCTCCGCTATCTTCAAATGGTCCAGATCCAGACCATTCATTAGATTATGCTCTTTGGTAGCAAGATGTCTCAGTCTCTCCAATTCCTCTCGTTTCAATTCGTCCAGCTTCGATCTGATCTTATGATCCACGAATTGCAGTTCATGCGCTATCTTTCCCGTCTGTGTACAAAATTATCTAATGAAAATTATAGATTGTGTATTCAAAATTCGCAATATAAATCTCTGAAAATATTAAACGTTCGACTCTTCAATCGTCGTGTCGTAAATTACAATCTATTCAACACTTAATGTTCTCGTGCTACATTACAATTTTATTATTAAATAAATTATTATTTGATATTGTAAACTTCTTCGATTTCAAAACTAATATAATATTGATTGATTGAGTATGGAAAGATCTTTCTTTACTTTCTTTTTTTTTTACTATACTTCCTCTGTGATATCATGCTCTTCAGTACTGCGCTTTCTATATATTTTCACTCAAAGTAAAATAATTTAGCACTTTCGTTACACTGTAAATAAAACTGACACAAACTGCAGACAAAGCGTCTGCAGTTTTTTTGCTGATACACTGTCTGAATTTTCAGACACACTTCTGAACTTTCAAAAAAACAACTTTGATGTTTAAGATAATTATGCTCTTTGGTAGCAAGATGTCTCAGTCTCTCCAATTCCTCTCGTTTCAATTCGTCCAGCTTCGATCTGATCTTATGATCCACGAATTGCAGTTCATGCGCTATCTTTCCCGTCTGTGTACAAAATTATCTAATGAAAATTATAGATTGTGTATTCAAAATTCGCAATATAAATCTCTGAAAATATTAAACGTTCGACTCTTCAATCGTCGTGTCGTAAATTACAATCTATTCAACACTTAATGTTCTCGTGCTACATTACAATTTTATTATTAAATAAATTATTATTTGATATTGTAAACTTCTTCGATTTCAAAACTAATATAATATTGATTGATTGAGTATGGAAAGATCTTTCTTTACTTTCTTTTTTTTTTACTATACTTCCTCTGTGATATCATGCTCTTCAGTACTGCGCTTTCTATATATTTTCACTCAAAGTAAAATAATTTAGCACTTTCGTTACACTGTAAATAAAACTGACACAAACTTCAGACAAAGCGTCTGCAGTTTTTTTGCAGATACACTGTCTGAATTTTCAGACACACTTCTGAACTTTCAAAAAAACAACTTTGATGTTTAAGATAGATTGTCTGAAATTTCTTTCAAACACCCAGATCTAAAAATTTAGACAAAAATATGTCTGAATTTTTAGAAAATTTTTTACAGTGTAGATTATTATAGTAGAGGTTTATACATATATATTTCCATTAAAATCTTCTCAATCTATAGGGATAATAAGGATGAAAAATCCGGATTATCAGGCGACCGCCGAACAATCGAAGAGAATCCGTAATTCTTATAATAATACTTACACGTATATCGTCTTCATTGGCTTTCTCCAATTTCGCGCGGAAATCATCGTCACTTTCCAGAGTCTGCACTACTTCCTTCAAATACCTCTGATATTCTAACTGATAGTCGGTTCCCTATAAAGACAAACGTTTCATATCACAGAAGAGAGAAGTTAGAGATCAGTAGAATCATTTCAAAAGTAACCTACCATATCCCCCATGTCGTCGATCTCGTTCTCCTTATCCTTGTGATCCCCATCCTTCTTTTGCGTGACGGGCGGTGCGACCGATGTATGTATTATTAAAGCTATTAAAAATAGTGGCAAACGGTACTGCATTTTTCTGGAACTATATGAAAAGAAGATACGAGATAACAATAAGAAACAAGAGAGAAAAATTTTCCAACATAAGATAAAAGCAAAACGTTAGACATAACTTATATCTATTTATAAAATGTTTACTTAAAAATCAGTTTAATATTTTGTTTTAGTTTTCTATCCAATGCATTATCTTCCATTTGATAAAGATTGATTAACGATGATTACGATACGTCTTTTAAATACTTAATAAGAAAAATTGACAAAAAAATGGTCGACTTTATAATAAATCTTTCTTGTCTGGCATAGCAACATTCAAATCAGGCCACATGTATTTACGCACAAATTACGTCATGCGTACGCATGCAATATCGCGTTTAAAAAAAACCGGAAATATAAAAACTACGAAAATTACGTCTATATATATATATATATATATAATTCGTGAAAACCCACGCAAATGAACAATTGGCCGTCACACAAAATTCTTAAATAAAAAATAAACTTGCAAGAGCATAATACTTAGAAACTCATCATTAATCTTTTTAAATCTAGCTTGAAATTGTGAAAGCAAATGAAATAAAATGCTAAACTAATATGTTGTTATTAATCATTAAGAAAAGGAGACATATTTAAAAAACATGCAAATAATAGGCACAAAAATAAAATTAAGAAAGAGATGAGGCAATTAATATTGTAAGAGAATATTGTTATTACTTAAGAAAAAATGAAGATGAAAGATAGAAGTTATCTCTTAATTTCTGTAATTTTTTTCTTGTAATAAAAACATATGTCTAATATTTATTACATTATTATATTATATATAATTATTATTTTTTTACACATAAATGTGTATGTTGTGTAAAATTATAAAATATTGAACGGTTTCTACTTCATGTATTTTTGCTCGTTAGTCGATAAAACTTTTTATTGCAACTTCCATGAGTTTGTTCCGCATATGTGTCAAGAGGAGACAGAGCCAATAATATTGCAAGCATATACATATGAATTCGAGAATCTGATGAAACATGGAAAAAGAACACAGAAGCATATGACGCATCAAGGTCGCGAATGAACAATTCAGCGAAAAATCTTTCGCGAGAGGAACGTGGTGAAAGCTCCTGCGCCAGAGTCGCAGCGACTAATCAGGGACAGTATATGGGATTTCCCGAGGACGACAATCATGTTATATAGATAACCTAATAATCATACAGATTAGAGGAAAATTGCAAGACTTACGTTGTAAAGCATATGCGATGTAAATGACGTCGTGGCTGCTCGCTCGGGTCACCAGATGCAAGTCAGAAACGGAAAACAAACTGTCATATACCACGGATAAACACACATGAACCGACCGCAAACACGGCCAAACAGCACCTGCCAGCAGTGCCAGCCAGCAGCCAGCAGCCAGCACTTGCTGATGCTGATGACGCAGGTGGAAAATAGTGAAAGAATACAGGCAGCGCCCTCGTACAACGCGAATGAACACATGTGTATCATCGCGCGTTACGTCAATGGATCGCGACGAGTCACGTGCCGCGTACGCTAGATGGTGACAGATGTCTCATTCAGGCTCGACTTGACATATATCAGCTGATCGCGCGCCTGTACTACGAGATATATGAAATTTATTATCGAAAGATATTTTCAATAGCGATTTTTTGTAATCCAAAGTTGTAAATGTGTAAGGTTCTCTCTTTCTCTATTAATAAATATCAATATTCTCTATTAATAAATATCTATTAATAAATATCAATAATATTAAAATTTTAGAATTGAAAATCAATTATTTAGAGCTACATATTTTTCAAGATGTTACGAGGTCTCTTAATTAATATGAGAAATAAACTGCAACTTTTTAAATTTATATATAATATAAATCCAGCCTCATTCATTCATTTCGATTAATTTTCTATTTAATCCATAATAATAAATATAAGAGAGCAAGCTTTGTATTTTTTTCATATTGTGGCACTTTTGTATTAACAACTTGCATGAATATTGTATGAATAATTTCATGTAATTATATTACGACATAGAAAAAAATAGTATAAAGATTGAAAATCGATGAATTAAATAGAGAAGCTAAACAGTATAGTTTAACCTTCTAAAGAAATTGCGCATAAACTTATCGAGTACCACGCAACACAGATAATTACGACTGTTTCAATTCACAGCTTGATAGTTACATTGGCCGAGTGCCAGACATATAGTTGCGAACGTGCAACTCGTACAAACAAACCTATTGACAGCGGTGATGATTATTTTCTTTACTATACTGACAATGAGAGAGAAAGATCTAATTTAAAATAAATTATGAAACACACACACACACACACACACACCCTGAACTTTTTAATTACAAAAAATACCATTGATAAATAACATTAATTTTCTGCGAATAGAAGAAATTTCCAGTGAGAATCCCGCTACACAATTAATTACACTACAAGTATAATTAATTACGGACGAAATTTTTTCTCGGTCTCAAAGAGACGTGGCAATAATTAACGCAACGTTATAAGGTGGACCATAAAATTCGTGATCGAGCCGGCTGAATCGTCAGGGAGAAAACAAAAGTCTGCGAGCGCGACGTGCTAAACGCGGTGCTGCGGCAAAGTGGAAATCTATTACCGGGCTTAAAGGCTCCTACTCTCTCCTTCTCTCTTTCGCTCTTTCTCGGGCCAATAACCCCATTTACGTTTTATGGCCAGCTGCTCTATCTTGATTTGGGCGGCAAGTAGGTCCGGTGTGTTTCTCGCTCTAGAAACCGGAAAAGGAACATCAAGCGCGAGAAAGGGAGAAGGAAGAAACATAGGGAGGAAGAGGGAGAGAAAGTCATCGTATCGATGGCGAACGAACGCACGAACGAAGACGCCGACAGGACGAGGTGGTCTCCGAACTATATACACGGGTGGGCACTAAAGTTTACGACCACGCCCCTGACAGATCGGAACCTGTACCGGACACGATTCTCCACTTGGCTTTAACCGAGTGTCGTCACTTTGGAACACCCGTGCCGTTTCGACAATACCCAGAACCGATCCACCGCGAAAATCGCATCAGCATTCTTCAACTTCCGAGATCGGGATTTAAATTCCTTTCGTATCTCTCTTATCTCAGGGTGGTTAAATCCCTTCCGGGCTTTCAGCGACGCTCGCACGTTGAAGGAAACTTCATATTGTAAATTTCTCTTTTTGTTGTAAGAAAATCTATTTTTATCAATAATACTTGATGAATATTCGAATATTTTAAGGTTTTCTAATTTTCTTAAGAGGATACTTAAGATTTGAAATCGTAAGAAATATTACAATATTATCTCTGAATTCTATTCAACGAAATATCGCATCTGTGATAACGGTACCCCATACGGTGTCCTGCGTCAACCGCGCTTTTGTGTCACGTCGCCAGCACCGCTGTCATCGTTGTCGCAACGATCGAACGTTTCTCAATACACGCGTTAAGCATAATACACTCGATGGGCGATGCGGAATACAGATCGCTACGAACCGGTAAAAGTCCTCATTAGATCGATCCCGGGCGAGTATCGACCCCCCGCCGGTACCGAAGGGACAAGTCGCTGCGTAGTCGGGCGAGTATCGACCCCCCGCCGGTACCGAAGGGACAAGTCGCTACGTAGTGGATCACACACGCGAGTTTCCACATCCCGAAACTCGTAAGATGACACGAGGAAGCCAGCCTTCTCCTCCTTCTCCTCCCTCCGATTCCTTCCCAACTTCCACGGCGAAGGTTTGAATTCTTGGGCCGGTCATTAGGACGGTATACCTGTGTCTATATCTTTTGTAGCGGCCTGTTACCTCGCCGACCACAATGCTCCGGGCCCCGACAAGTGTTTTCGTATCTGATTGACCCATCTCCGGGGCAGGGCTCCGACAAACGGCTAATTTTTCTTCGAGCTAACGATCTTCGTATACCTGACGTCCTCCATCTACTCCCGCCTGCCCCCCCCCCCTTTCCCTCCCGCCACCCTTCTCATTCCGCTGACCAATTTCGCTTCTTTTGTCTTTTCCCGCTGCTGCGCATTTCGCTTTTTACGTCCACCTAGGCATCGCGAAACTGCAAAGTCACCGGAAACGCTCGCGAGCCGCTCTCGTCGTCGCGTAGAGATCCTTTATCATCCCCGTACTCTGGAGACTTCTGCGCCTCGGCCTCCTCCCTCACCTCCCTTCAAGAGCAAAGCTCACCCTGGAGAGGAATCAAGCTGACGGCGGCGTTCATCCTCCACCAACTAGACCACCTACCGCGCTGGGATGGCATATCTTCTCGTGTCCTGTTGAGGACCCGCCGCGGAGGTCTAGCAACTTTTTTTACCATTACTCATTTCTTCGCGGAATTCGAGGATGAAAGATGTACAAGGGAAAATTTCGTTGAGATACATATACGTATAATATCTCTTTGATCTTAGTAAAAGCTCAAGTCAAGATATAGAAAATTCGAGAGAAGAAACTTTGTCGAGATACTTCAATGTTTTCTTCGGACAAAATTCCTTCTACGTGGATCCTAGGACCTTTCTTTGACAGCTTTAAAGTGCTAAAATACTGGATTTATTTTAGTTTTTTTTTTTTTTTTTAGAAACTTTCTCACGGTCGGGAGGCCAGATAAGTTATACTTTCGAAAGTTGAGTCATCGCTCGATCCTTCGACATTGCTGAAGATTATTACAATTTTAGTATATATTACTCACATAATCTTAATGCATTGGTCTATGATAAATACGTTGAATAAAGCGTCAACGTACGTTTTTTAATGAACAAATATCTAGAACCGATAACTTTCGAAATATTATAAACACGATGCATAGTTTCTTCATCCACTAGCTACTTCAAGTATCATCTCTCGAATCGATTTTACTTTTACTTTACTTTTAACTTTCTCCACGGAACAATCATGGCCAGATGCATTCTGCCGTTGGTCGTGGCCTATCTGGCCCATAGATAATTTTCATCCCGTTCCATCTGCCGCCTAAGTATCTTCCCTCGTTTCTTCCAAGAGACTCATCCTCTTATCTCTCGAGAAATTTCCCAGATAATTCACGGGATAATCTTCTCACGCCTGTCCGAATCACAGGTCTGTTCCTACTATTCTTCTTTACACTTTCGGTACTCGAAGTTCAACAGGTAAATAGAAAGAGGAGGAAGAAAGAAAGAAGAGATGTCTGAGAACAGAATCGAGAGAAACAAATCTCTTGCTCACGGATATAGTCTTTAAACTCATCTTTAAACGCGATCTTTAAACTAAGTGTAAGCTTAAGTCCCCAGCGGTAGTCGTCAGAAAATAACATTTTTACTTAAACATCTGTCGAGGGTCACTCTTAAACCTATCTTCATTGAAGAGCACCATTAATGGGAGACGCCCGGAGGAAAACGCTCTAAAATAAATAACATTAGGGGAAAACCGCTTTCTGTATTCGCTGGTCTCTCTTTTACTCAATATCAATTACAAGAAATTTTCATTCTTATACATATAATTACCTAATCATATATAAAAAATAATAGAATTTTTTAATAATTTTATCTTACACACAAAATTCGCGCGACGTAATGTTATTATATGAACGAATAAATCATGTATATCTTTTTAGCACTCAAATCTAAAATCTCTATTTCACAGAGAGAGAGAGAGAGAGAGAGATCCTGAATTGTGCGACGAGTGTGTGACGAGTATTCGATACTAGAGTACCAACGAGTGCCATCGCTAGCCGCCGCCTTCAAGAATGGACATACGGAATTACGGAGTCGTACATCGTGCAACCTCTCATTTCCCTCCTACTGCAATCAGCGGCATTTAAGCCTGCCTTTCGAGCGTTTAAGCATTTAGCCGCTTCCGCCATATCTCGCGATTGTCTTGTACAGGGCACACTTTTTTCGCGGAATCGTATGGCTCTCCCTCGTTCGGTTCCCAGAACAACGGACGCGGAGATGGACGCTGGTATGTCGTAGCGTGTCGCTGACAAGAATTGTACAAGTCACCGTTGATCCTTATTCACGTAATCATCGAGCAGGGATCCAGAGATCGACACGGGTCCGTGATTCGGCTTCGTTTAAGATCCGAGAATGCGATTAGGCTTAACGGTAAAATTGGAGTAATGAGATGCAAATGAGTTTTCACAGATTTTTACTATACTTGAAAAATCGCAGATATTTTATAACACAATAATATATAAAGCGTACTTTTGTAAAAAAAAAAAATGGAAGTAAAATTGGAGTCGGTAATGAGATACAAATGAGTTTTCACAGATTTTGTTCAAAAAATCAACGATAAACGTCAAAGATAAATGAACTTCGAATTGCTGGAAACAGATATTTTATAATACAATTATACAGAGTGTCCCGTAAAGACCGTAACAATGCTTAAGGGTAAATCTCTTACTTAAGAGTAAGATTATTTTAAGATGATCTTTCCTCAGCAAAAATATCGAGGTATTAA